TGCCATTTGCGATGCAGAACGTTTATTAAACTCACGACCAATCACCTTCGTCAGTTCAGATCCTGATGATCTTTCCCCGTTGACCCAGAGTCATTTCCTTATCGGACAGTTGGGAGGAAAGTTTGCTCCTGAAACCGCAGATAGAGATGAAGTTTTCAACCCCCGAAAGCGTTGGCATCGTGTACAGCAGTTGGTGGGGCAGTTTTGGAAACGCTGGAGGAGAGAGTTTCTGCCGAGCTTAAATACACGAAAGAAGTGGTTTCATCCGACACACAACCTAAAGGAGGACGACGTAATGTTAGTAGAGCCGAATGCAGAGAGGGGAGAATGGCCTCTTGGTCGAGTTATCGAAGTATTTCCTGGAAATGACGGATTGGTACGGGTTGTAAGGATAAAATCGAAAGACGGTGAATACTTGCGTCCGGTGCACCGGTTGTGCCCTTTTGAATACGCAGGAGACAATTCATAACGCTCGGACAGTTACCTAAGACATGGACCACATCGCAGTTATATATTAACTAGTTTTGTTAGTTGGGTTCGAATGTTTTTACATTCGGGAGGGGGATGTTTCTGTCCTTATGACAGCATCCAGTTAAAAATAGAGATCAGGAATGCGACCGCAAAAGACAAGGACCGCGGGCGCAAAAACGTAAGACGAACGTTTTGTTGTCATATCGAAAGGTTATTTTTGGTGATTTCCTTTAAAATATTATGTAAATTCTTTGTTACAGTCAATTTCACGAAACTTTGACCACAAATGTTCCGAACTTCGTTGCGAAGTTCGCAAGTTCGTTGCGAAGTTCGCAAGTTCATATTGGAATTCACAAGCCACTTTGTAAACAAATTCCCTGATTGGCCCGTGAAGTAAAAGAAGCCAATCAAATGCGTAGTTTGTACTGGTTTGTGAATCTCATTATGAACTTTTGAACTTCGCAACGAACTTGCGAACTTCGCAACGAAGTTCGGAACATTTGTGGTCAAAGTTACGTGAAATCGACTGTAAAGTACACGAAAAAACTGAAAGTTATTTTTTCCACATAAATTGTCTTGACTTTTCTCACGATGGAGAAACACCAATTATTTCAAAAACGGTTTAATTAACTTATATCTCTATAAGGTCTATATAATTATATCTCTATAATTAGTGTCTATATTCATGATTTCCCTTCTCACTAGATAAACTCAAACCCCATCATTTAATAGACAACACTGATGCATTAATGGTATCATCATTGTAATTAGTCACTAACTGATTCATGCAAATTATGCTTTTTGTTAATTTTATTTTTTTAAATACTGACTCCTCAGTCTACACTGTTAGTAATCATCTCTCCTGTAATAGTGATTTTGTTATTTTTTAGTGCTACACTTTCGCGGCAAAATAATCTTTGAGTGGGACCTCGTGAGATGGACCAAACGTATCAAGGACATGAACATGACTTATTTCAAGCTTCGCAAAATAGAATTCTAAAACAAAAAATGTCACAAACATGACATATGATTAGTTCGGTGGTTCGGGTCGTGCGCAGAATTCGTCCACCGGGGGGGGGGGAGTATTATCTATATGCTGAAATAAGTACCCAAATAACCAAAGAATATATATTAAGTATATAGTTAAAATATGAGCAGCTGATCTTTATAGGCATTTACTACAATGGAGAGCGCGCAGCGCGAGCCATTGTTAAATGCCCTTCAAAAACTCCTTAATAATTCATGAAGCAATTATCCAATCTTGAGTAAGAAATTAGTCACGTGCATATGTCTTTATACCAACTAAAGAACACTTTAACAAAAGACCATTGTTATGCAAACTATATAAAAGATTTTTATATAAAGATTTTTATATAAAGATTTTTATATAAAGATTTGACTTATTATGCAAATGTTTTTGAAGCCATTTAAAAAACTCGCAGGTCGTGTTTTATTAGGTCTAAAGCCACTCGCGCTGCGCGCTCGTGGCTTTAAACCTAATAAAACACTCCTGCTCGTTTTTTAAATAGTACGTAAAGATCAGTTGCGAATATTTTAACGTATTTGTAAAATTAATTTATTTGTTTACTTTATTAGTATTCTCTGCCCATCGGGACAATCTCACGCTTCATTAGCATGCTATTAAAACTTAAATTATAACATTGTTAACTTTCATAAACATCCATGTTTCTCCAATTAGTATTGTTAACTTTTATAAACACCCTCTATAGCATGACTTTCTGATCTTTAATGCGGTTTACAAGTGTGCACATGCATGTGACCTAAGTACCGCATCGTGATTTGTTTGTGGCCTTATTAATTATTCATGACTTTTACAACTAACAATCAAACTAAAGTTGATCGTAAGTTGAATTTTCGCTGACGGGCGGGAGGAGGGATTCAGTTGCCGCTCCTGTATATGGCCTAGATTATATATGCCTATTTTGTTTCAGATTAATGCTTTTTGCATCTCCATCTAGTGCATATATACTCCATCTGTTTATACAAGCAGCATGTTAAAATCATCAGAAACTGAATTACTTACTGTGAGAAGCTGGCCAAAATTTCATGACTGGATTTCTAGAAAACAATGCTTCCTTTGCAAATGGAATTTCGTCCGCGGTAAGTTTCGTCACCTAAAACACATGTAACTCTTTAATTAATGGGTTTTTCAGGGAGATTTTATACTCTAACGTTAATGACAAACATTTGCCAGTTTGGTAATGTATAGTCAGATGGCGTTTACCATGTAGGCCTATATTTAAATAGTCAGATGGCGTTTACCATGTATATAAATCGTCCTGAATCTAAAGCTCTCAAATATTTTATTTATTGGGAATGCTCCAGAAAACATGCTCCAGCAAGCCATACCTTGCCCACTAAAACCAATCTTGCACATCTTGGATCTTCTGCAATATAATCATTTCTTGAACAATAATCACTCATTGCTTCGGAAAAACTAAATGTTGATGATGCATTCTTTTCCAGATCTTCGCCACTTGGAGAATCAGGCATTATATAGATGTATGGTACACCTGTACTGTTATTGACTGGACCGTCTGCAACCGAGACTGCAATTCCAAAGGGAATGCCATGGTACTCGACTGAAATTGTTGATATTATACACCAGTCCATGTAATGTGCAATATAACGAGCTAAATAAAATACATTGTTGCATATAATTTAGTCTATATGTATTACAGGAGAGCATATCAAGGTGAATCTTGCAGGAGCAGAATTTTCAAAAGGACTAAACTTTGCCCTATTGTTGTTGAAGGAGATGAGGATCTACAGGTTTTGTTTATGGCCATTCAACAATTACGTCATTGCAATTTTAGCCCTCCCCTCCTAAAAGCAAAAAATAGGGAGGATTCATTATACATGTGCATGAACCTTTCAACTAAATTTGAACCACATAGCTAATTACTGTCATATTTTAATACTTCGTCTTTATTCAATTCTTCATATTTTTCATATTTTTGTACTTTCAATTGTTGTTTTTATGCTTGTTGAATGGCCTTAACAATTAGGAAATTGGTTTTCCTAAAAAGCCTCTGCGGGGTAGAGAGGATGTACTTCTCTAAATTAAATTTATCCTGAACACCACACGGCTTTAGAGTACCCAACCTCATGCACATGCAGGGCTCATTGGGTACGAGGTTGTATAGTTATACCACGCTCCCAAGGCTAATAAAGTCCGGTTCCCATTAACTGGCGTGAACATATCAAGATGACCGATGTAACAGAGTATCGATACACCTCTACAGTCAGTATGCAAAAGACGAAATAGATCCAGAATATTTTACACTTTCGAACATGACTTGGTCACGACAGCTACATGGAAACCACTCCAAATTACATCATGTGTGCCCACAATACAGTCCATGTAGCCATAAGTTTTTGTGAAAAACGTTTCCACTTCCCATAAGAAAATCAACGTCAGTCAATAAGGAAGTACTCTGTCTCTGGGCCATGATCTGTTCTCTGCAGACGACAGGCACATAGTTCATTGTAATACGGGTAAACACTGCAATTCACATAGTGATAGCGGGTGTATGCAAATTCGATAAATAAGTGTGTAAGGTCACTATAATTATGCACAACCACACCTGTCTTTGCAAGATCGTCACGTGATGGTGGATTAAATGGAGGTTTGACTTCATTTCTATTGTGGAACACTATAAAACAAATTGATAATATATTAGGGGCGGACCATTAGCTGGATCGGGAAAGTACATTTTTGTCACGTGATCGCTTTTAATTTAACTGGTATAAAAGCACATGTGTTTTCCCGATCCATGCTATACTAACTTCCCAAGGAAGGGTCTTCGCTCGAAACGTCGAAATTTTTACTTGTATTTTTCAGATACTAGTTGAATCCCTCTCAATTCGCATCTTTCTGAGTTATTATCACTGTACACTGGCACAGGCCGTTCGAATTTACACCACCCCAAAAAATGTTTTCACCACAAAGTCCGCTCACACCACCATGCAACTGTACCAGAAACCACCACTTCCAGCTACATTGTCACTCCTCCCTGCCAACGAGGTTAACCGAGCATGCCTCCAACAGTGGCTTCTTGACAACTATGCCTTCAGCCCCTCCTGCTCATGCATGGCCCGCTAATGTTGCTCATGGTCAACCTAGATGCCACCACAGTGGCACACCATATCCCTATATACGTATATATATACGTTCTTCCAGTTCATTGAATACGCTTTGACTTTTTGACTTTCCAAAGCCAAAAGCTCCGCTATCGTCTGACATTCTTTAATCTTTCTTTCCATATCTAAACCAAAAAACGATTCCCTCAAACAAAATTATTACACAAATACCCTTTAAGTAAATATAAACATTTACCTGGAAAACAAGCTAGTTGTCAAATAAAATATCCACCAAAGCTCTTTCGATGTAAACAGTATATTTGAAGTAACTTCCCTAAGTGAAAACTATGAGCACAATAACGATAATCGCCCGTCTCCTCTATTTATACTATCCATCCAACACAGCTAACCAGTCAGGGATGTGCATGATTGTGACGTAATTGGTGTACGTACACCGTGTACGTACACCTAATTTATATTCGTACGCATCAACCAATCAGAGATAAACATGACGTAGTGGTGTACGTACACCTAATTTATATTCGTACGCATCAACCAATCAGAGATGGACATGCCGTAGTGGTGTACGTACACCGTGTACGTACACCTAATTTATATTCGCACGCATCAGCCAATCAGAAATGACGTAGTGGTGTACGTACACCGTGTACGTACATCTAATTTATATTCGTACGCATCAACCAATCAGAGATGGACATGACGTAATTGGTGTACGTACACCGTGTATGTACGTACACCGCGTACGTACACCGTGTACGTACACCATACTATATAAAGCAAATCGCTACTATACACAGTCAAAATGAACTCGTGTGAACAAGTGTTCTGGGCAAAGCGCTTGAACGTAGACGAAGTTGTGCCTTGGGAAATCAAAAACCTGTGTAATTTAATGAATGCTATCTTTTCGGAAGCCGTTGACTGCCAAGTCCATAAACTTCGAAAAGAAAAATGCTGCGGTTGTGAAGTCAATCATCCAAGCCAGAAAAGACATGACTGCCTCATGATGTCCAGAGAAGAGGGTTGGCTAATGCATGGACCGGAAGCAGTAAAGCGAGTGATCGAACATCAAACAGTTTCGAAACAATTCACCGAAGCTATACGCGTCATGAAACTAGACCCTCATTCAACATTTCAAAAATCTAACCAAAGACCCCGAAACAACCGCCGAATTCCTAAAAGATCTGAAGTTTAAGTCAAACCTTCCTGAATATCAAGCCATTTTGGAATATCCCAGCTACTGGAGCGAAGAACATTAAACGGTTCATAGTTTAAAAACAATATATTTTTAAAAATTGTTTATTAACTAAAAGTATATTTTACAAATTATTAAAATGTTCTCGAAGTTTATCTTTGAGATAGTTCTGATATGCCTTTTGTTCATCTTGTTCCTTGCTCCGGAACTTTTCCCCCTTTCCTCTAACATAATATATAAAGGTAGGGGACTGCCGAAGAGGCGCTCTGCAACAGGTTTTAGGATCAGACAAGTCGCATAGAACTTCGATTAATGCCTGGTTGTCTTGGTATTCTTGAAATAATGATTCAATCAGCATAAGATCAGGGTTCTCTTCCAAGCTCAATAAGTGTTCCGTGAAATATTTTTCAAACGGAACATTCAGGATTTCAATAACATTACTAAATTCACGCCAGACGGCGTAATTAGTTCCGGCTTCCCCTATAGCATCAAGACCATACATCTCCCATTTTTCAAACTCATCCAACATTAAGCAGTCCTGGTCACAGATTTTACACCCGCAACAAAACAGGCTAAATTTCCCTTCAATGCTATGTGCAATGACCTTGGCGTATATTATTTCTATCAGATGAAGCTTCTTGTTTGAACCGTTCATTATGGAAACCAATGTGTAAATGAACTTGTATTACTGATTGATTCAAATACACCCCCATGTTTCCCAACGCTCCTGCATACTAATTACTTCTGGTGCTCTATTCGCTCCTGCATATACTAATTACTTCCGGCGCTATACGGAACTTCCAGCGCAATACAGGGGGGGGGGGTAATACTACTTCAGATGAAAATATGAAACTAGTTTTTCCAATTTTGTTAAAATTTTCAATGAATTGTACCTGTTTTCTATGGATTCATCATGTCTAACTCTGGACATTCTTGCTAGTTTAGTTAATGCATTTTTCTTGCTGCACGACTCTGAAAATTCGAAATTTGGATCGTTTTATTCCCGTGCATGATCATAACATACTGAATGTGAATATATTTGAGCCAAAGGCAATTTCAAGGTAAAAGGTCATAACTTAAACGTGAAAATTCAAGTGCGAATATGATATATATTCTTATATTTGTAGTAATGCCTAGTAGCGCAATAAGATAAAAATGCCACCATTCGATTCAGTGTAAGAAATGGTACTTATGGATGTCATATGTATTACTAAACACCAGTTACAGTATTCGAGCAATTTATGGCCTTTGAAAATCAAGCGAAATTGTATTTGACAAATCGCTCGCAGTATGTATTGTTGACAAATCACTTGCAGTACGGTTGTCCTTGTATTTGTATTGCCTAATGGCACAATAAGAATAAAAATACCACTGTTCGATTCAGCATAGGAAATTGTAATTACGGATGTCAAATGTATTACTAAACGACAGTATTCTAGCGACTTATGGCCTTTGTCTTTGAAAGCCAAGTGAAATTTTATTGTTGACAAATTGCTCAAAAATGATTAAACTAATTATTATGAAAAATGCAGTATGTTTGATCCTTGATATAAACTTTCGTATCGTTGGTTTTCTCATGCCGTATACCAGTGGATTGGTCTCACTTCTCCGGCTTCATTTTAGTTGTATTCTTAGCCCAAAAGCCCCCAAATATTTTGTTTTGAACGTTTTAAAGCAGAGTTTAATCCTAGCCTACAGACCAACTGGTGGCAGACAGAAGAATGTAGCATACTAAATAGTAAATATAGCTTTACTTGTAGGTGGAAATGCTGGAAGTTTTATTTGTAGGAAACCAAATTGCATTTTTGTACTGTGTTACGCCTTTCACGCTCGTATTCGACTTTTCCACTTAGCTCGGGGACAACCTTAAATCTTAATGGAAGTAGCTGTGTGTACTGTATGTAATGTATCATATACTGTAATGTGATTGGTGTGTATTTGTATAGCCCCAGCGAGTTAACGCTCTATAGAGCATCTTGTTACTTTTAAACTTGTCTATTTTACTGCAGTAAACTTGGAATTACATTTCAAATATAAACGTTTTTAGATAATTTAGTCAACTAAATGATCTAGTATATATGAGTTGTGGTAAGCAAATGAAATGAAATATATTTATAGAATTTCACCTGCCTTTTTTTACCATGGTAATTCAAATTTGTTTTGACAAATGGCATTGTAAAATATGGCCTGCTTTTGGAAAAATTCCTACAAGAATTCTCATGTCTAGTCCCAAATTATTATAGGAATTTCCTATAAGAAAATAATTAATCCTAATTTCCTATAAGATTTTGGGTATTCCTGCAGAAATTCTAGAATCTAGATGAAATAGTAAATGACACACAATGTTGTTCATTTTTTAATGCAAAAAATAGATATAAATATTAATATTAGAAATTGGTTATACTAAACATTACAAATGAATTATAGTTTTCACCTATTCTGCCAAATTAATCGTTCTACCTCAATGCAATGCCATATGATGCATCCTACTTGATTATTTTACTCTGTCTAATGCCAGACTATTTTACTCTAACTCCAGACAATTGTACTTGAATGTCAAGGGGAAAATGCTGGCTCTGAATGGGTTAACTAGCCTATATTCCTATATATGTGTCTAGTTAACCCATTGAATTGCATTGCGCCCTGATGCGCCCTACTTTATTATTTTACTATAGTTTACTCTGTCTAATGCCAGATGATTTTACTTGTTAGAGCGCTGGCGCTTAATGGGCTAAACCATAGGTGATAACCATAATTGACATTTAAAGTTTAAAACTGGCCTCAAAACATAGTCCTCAAATAAGTTCTTGTTTGCTTTTCTGTTCTTTGCAATACTTTCCCATGTTGTTTATTTTTGTCCTCGTACGTTGACGAACCTCTGAGCCCTTACATCCACACTTTGTTGATACAGAAGCTGTAAAAAGACAAATACATATATTTAATGTATACCATTCCAATGTGTCTAGTTAATCATTAAATATGCCCAAATGCGCCCAATTTATTATTTTACTCTTAATGTAGAGTCTAGGACATTACTAGAATAAACACAGTAAAATAACAAAGTACTAAAAGTAGGGCGCATTGCTTCTAAATATGCCAACACAGCAGCTTTTGTAGTTAATTATTAGACTGATTTAGATCGAGGACGCGGACGTCAAAGACAACATGAAAATGTCGTGTTGTGCCCATGTATGGATATGCCACGCCATTGTCACGTCATCTTTGACGTCCGTGTCCTCGATCTAAATCTGTCTATTAACCTTTCAATGACCAGCACTCATTTTGATGAGTAAAATCATCTGATAATTAAATATCAAAG